TGCGAAAGTGTCGAAATCAGCGAGGACGGAAGAGGAGAAGGGGTGAGTTGATCGCACCTTATCCGCGCGGGCGTCGAGCGGGGCCGCCGCGCGCGCGAATCGAGGTAACGCGGCACGAAACGCACGTCGCGCGCGCCCGCTCCGCTCCCGCTTCCTTTTAGTTGCGGTAAGCACGTGACACGTGACAGTGCGGTCCGGTGCGCTCGAGGCACGCCAGCGAGGGGAAAAGGGGGGGGGGAAAAAAAGAACACGCCGGGAGATATTACTAAAGAATATTAACCGCGACTCGCGATAGACCCACCGAGTCGTGATTCAGTCGTGGAAATTCGCTCGTCGCTGAACGAACTCGACGGTGGAGCATCCAAAGTTCACTTCGTTGACCTTGCGCCGACGTACGAGACGATAACGAGACGCTCTCCGTGGCTTCCGCCTCGCGGTTCCGCCGCGCTGATCGCTCGAGATTTTCGAGTCAGTTTCGACGGACGGCGGACGAGTCGTTTTATAAATCTGTGTCGCGTCGGCCTCGCGCGCACTCGAGCGAGTCGATCAACGAGTACACCCGTGCGCGTTATCCCGCCTGCGATTCCGAATATCTCGACGACCCGTTGTCGACGGACATTTTCGAAAATTCCGGACGCTACGAAAATCGACTTGAATCGACGAAAGGGCGTGCGAGCGCGCCTGCGTATCTTGTCACGCGCGCGCCAAATCGCCCGCTCTTGCCGCCATCGAGGAGAAGGAAGCGGCAAATACATCGAACAAATATTCGATAGCTATTCGAAAAGTATCGCATTCGTATGTATTTCTGTGTCTACGTTTTCTGCGTCTGTATCATGTTGATTCGTTATCGTCACTCGCCGTTCTCGCCGCTGCCGTAATTGATCATTATGTGCGCGACGGACGTCTCTGTATAAAAAAGAGAAGAGAACGAACAAAAAGTTGGAGCGCATCTTTCGCATCTTTCCAAGACGTGTAGATTATAAGAAGCCTGTCATGTCCTTTCAATGGAATTTCTTGCACAATTCTGTCCTCCTTTTCTCTCCGCATTGGATGAAGATGAATCGTGCAAGAAATTAGTTAGTAAGAGGAACAGACCTGAGCTTGTTTCCTGTTCCCGCGTTAAAACTTCCTATCTCGCTCTTGTCAAATATACTTCAAATATATTTCATGTTAACGAATGTACACCAGTTCAGCTAGAAAAAATAGATCATACGTGTACGAATAATGAGGTATCATTTGATACCGCGCTTCTATTCCCATACGCAACCATAGCGCAGACCTCCAAGGGATGTTCTAAAGGGACGTCCAAAAGATGTCTTCGGATAAAGTGTGCTGTATGGATTAAGGCACAAATATCGATATATACACGAATACGAAATAATTGATTCGAATAAATTGTAGGAGAAAGGTCGTTTGCAATTCGAATGCTACATCCTTCTCGTTGCGACATTTAGATATTCTTTCGAACGTCTAACGGTCTGTTTAGAGATTTTATACATTGAATTGTGTCTGATTTCGTAAATTTGCTTATCGATTTATTAAAGGGGAAATTAAACTAAATTTCATTATATTTCATTAGCTTTAAGCTGATGCTGCTTTAAATCCGTTAAAAACATAACTGCATGTGATATAAGTAATTATTCCAAATTTATAAATATAAATTCAATAAAAAGAATTTTATTAGATACCTAAGATCTAGTCGTTTAAGGAATGTCCTCTGATCTGTTCTTTAAATATGTTTATAATACTTTAATATCCATTACACGTGCCAAAATTGCTTAAAATTAACATTTCACTTAATAATTTTTGTAGCAATATATGTATATATGTACACATATATCGGAGATATAATTATGTGATAAACAGATACTTTTTCAGGAATATTAACTAAATTAATGTTATCTGCGCAGATAAAGTTAAGTTGTTTTGTACTAGATGAGCCGTATCATTTATCAACTTTGTACACAAGGATCATCGGGCATATTCGCACCGTGTGCATCTTGTTTAAATATTCGTGCATCTTGACTGTGCTGACTCGGTAGCAATTTGATAATAATTAATTTTTCACAAACTTACAAACTATAATTTATACATTTATACATCGTTTTATTGTTACTTTTGTATCATATTAGGAAAAATGCGTTAGAAAAATGTAATGAAAATTTCGAAACACGCATTGGCGCGCGCATGCGCGTGCGCTCGCAACTACTTTCACACACGCTTCACGCATGTTGCGTATCAATCCCCTTACCCTTATAATTACAATGTGCAATATACGCTCCTACGAGCTATTGCGAAAATCGAGGTAGAACGCAATCGCGTGATTGGCTTTGCAGAAGGACAGATTAGAGGTGATAAATTGACGTAACGCAGATTAACGCAACATCCGTTTCGTGCTATAAACGAAATATACTTACTTTGATTGCTCGATTTTCAAATAATCATATCTATAAAATGTTTATCTAGATGGATGATAGCGGTTTTAATATAAGAGAGATGTATAGTATAATAGATATCGCCAGAACTTTTTTGTTACGCAACGTTGACGAAACGTTTGTTCGTGTCTTTAACGTACGAAAATCCTAATCTTTAAACAAGCGTGTTTTTATACAGGCATTTCTT